CTACAGGCCCAATTTCTAGGTCTGTACTCTACTCACTATGCTTTGAAAAAAGAAAACTAAGTACCTAGAACTCGTGAGAAGAAAGGCAGGGTGAATCCAGAGATCGGATATAGAACAAAAAAGCCACTCTTAAAAGTTTTTTTGTTTTTGGTTTTGGTTTTGGTTTTGAGGATTTTAAACCCAGGGCTGCTTAACCACTGAGCCACATCCCCAGCCCTTTTTATTTTATTTTGAGAGTTGTAGTGAGCCTTGTGCCAGGAAGACACCCCCCCCACAGAAACCCTGAATTCCCTTGTGATGCAGCCTTAGATCAGGGTGGACAAAACTGTCTGTAGTGGGCTAGTCAGTATTTCAGGTTTGCACACTGTGTGGTCTTCACCTCAGCTACTCAGCTCTGCCCTTGCCTCAGAAGAGCATCATAGACAATATGTAAATGGCAGATCTTGCTGTGTTGTAATGAAATTTTACAAGTGTTAAAATTGGAATTCCATGAGATTGTCATGTGTTATGAAATATTACCTGATTTTTTAAAAAACTGTTTAGAATATAAATGTCATCCTCAGCCTGCAGGCCAGATAAACGCAGGCCATGGAACTGGGTTTGACCCAGGACCTGGCTTGCCAGTCGCACCTTAGCTGTTGGGGGCTGCCTGACTGCAGCAGAAGGCCTGTCCCCACAGGTGTCCCCACAGCCCTGTGTCCAGCCGCTGCACTTTGATCTTGTGTGCATGGTGGTCTCACTGGATTCTGAGCTGCTGCTTTTTGATTCTGAGCTTCTTGAGAGGAGGCCCATGGGCTGCAGTCATCTTTGTGTGCTTATTACCTTAGTACCCGGACACACGATGGGTATTCAGAACATACTGGGCTTGATTCATGCTTAGAAATGTGCACTGCCATTTCTGCTGCTCCGATGACAGGCAGCAGGCCTTGCCATGTGCCTCCCGGGGGTATTCACGGTGGCACCTTTCCTGACTCGGTGCTATGTAACAGAAGCCTTTCCAGGATCATTCATTCTGATGTCCTGTGTGTCTCAGGTTGGGCTTCAACATCTGATCTGCAGAGCCGTGCTGCATTGGTGTGGAGTTGTAGCAGGTAGTGTTTGCTGGGCCCGTGCTGCTACATTCCAGGCAACTCCAGTTTCCCCCAGACTTCTGATAACTTTCTGGTCATTTTCTTTGTTCTGTATAGCTCAAACAAAACGAAGCAGCAACATAAAAACACTCCCGTGCTTTCCTCCACATGCTCTGTCCTAATGCCCGTCAATACCGTCCACCCAGGCCTCCAGGCCAGAAAGCAAGCTCATCAGAGCCTCCTCTTCTCTGCACTGCCATATCCACTTGGTGGCTAAGGCTTATCAGTTTTTAAAATAATCTTTGGAATTTAATTTCTATTTCTTTTGGCCTGGTGGAAACCTTAAGTGTTTCTTGACTCTTTCAAAATATAAATGAATCAGACACAGCATTGTTACCATTTTCCTGAACCGGCAGGCCTCCTCCTTCAGTCTTCTTGCAGTTGTCAGCGCTGAATGGTAATCATCATCATGCAATCAGACCCGCCCTCAGTTAGGACCCTTGATTTTCCCACCATCGTCTAGGTACAGCCACCTTCCAGTCAAGGCACACCAGACTGTGTGGGACCTTGGTGCCTTCACAGATGCATCTCAGACTTCAGAAATTGTTTGGATCTTAAAAGGTATGTGTAACACATCATCCACTTACCATGCCAGCCCTCCATGGCAAACACATCCCAGGGTGTGTGTGTCCAGTGGAACAGACTAATCCTTTTGGTTTGTTTACATTTTACTGTCAAACGAATTATAGGAAGATGTTTTCGGAGCTTTTTGGATTCAGAGTTTGGACTCAAGAGATTGTGGCCCTAGCTATCCAAGGGTCTACCTGATGGAGATTGGCTCTTCCCAGTTCTAAGGCCCATTTTGTGCATCTCTTCCCAGTTCTGCAGTGAGCAAGGTCATATTAGCAGCTGACATCAGTCATGGTAGGAATTACCCGTGGATCTCAGTAAATGCCCCACAACATGCTTTGGTGAGTGCATTGTCAAACCTCCAGTGCAGCGCTGTATGTACCTGTTGTATCTACAGTGCACTGGAACGGTCAAGCCCTGTCTATATCTGTGCTGCATCAGATGGAGGGCAGGGCTTTCAGGAAGGCACAGGAGGTGAGCGTGCAGGTGATGAGGAGGTGGCAGTGAGAGACACTGGAGAGGCAGACACTGTGGGCTCACCCAGCTCCTTTATTCCCAGAGCAGGTGACCCTGGGCAAATCACTTGCTTACCCATTGAAAAGTAAATATTGGTCACCTCCCTCTCCTGGGTGGTTGTAAGGATTAAATTAGATATATATACCCCATGCCTGACTTAGATGGACACTCTTTGTGTCCTACAAGCTTTCTTTTCCTTCTGAAGTATTTTTGTTTGTTTGTTCTTTAAGTCTCTGCAGACATGACCCCCATTCTCTAAAGCCCATGTGCACACAGAGGTCAGCACTGGATGCTCTTAGTGTCTCTCTAACTCATCCTTAGCCATGGTCTTACCATGAATCTCTTGTGCCCATTTGTATAAGCTGCTATAACATGCTTTTTTCTATGAAAAGCTTCAGTCATTTACTTGATACAGATTTATTGAACATCCATCATATGTTAATGTACTAGGTGTGGGTGATGGTGAGATTACTAAGACGCAGACCCTCCTGTATCCTGTGGGGTGATGGATAAATGTGGGAGACCAACCTTGCACGTGACTGAATCACTCTTCCCGGCTGGGTGCTGAGGCGCTCAGTCACAGAAATGTGTTAGAGCTTTCCCCACTCTTTTTGGGTTCCAGGGTTTGTGTCTCGTGCATAGGTATGTCTTGCTACAGCCCCATGGGTGAAGCTATGCTCACCTGTTTCTTTGTAACATAACCCCTTGCCCTGTTTAGGATAGAATCTTCCATGGAAGTGCCTGTGTGTGTCCCCTTCTCTTACTGTGCCCTTGGGTGTGGCCTACCCAGGTGTCAGTCAACCTGCTGACAGTGGACATCATGAAGATAGACTCAGCCCCCTGAAACCTGACCCCTTGCCTCATTTGAATAGCTTCTCCTCCATAAAAGGGGTCAGCGCATGCTCTCGCTCTCTCTCTTTCAGCGGACCCTTAAGGTCAGAGGAGCCGTCACAGCTACCCCAAAGAAAAAGGTATTTGTGTCTCTTGTGTGGTTATTTTGTGCAGTCCAGTTAGCCCAGTTTACCTGGAGTGACCCCTGAGCCCTTTTGAGAGAACAGAAACCCTGCAGATAAGCCAAAAGGAAACCACTATTGATGTGCAAGCAGAGGGCTTTTTCAGTGGTAGATCGGAACTCAGGTCATGGCAGCAGGCAGGAGAAAGTGGTCCTCTCCATGAGGAGGGTACGGCATGTGGACTGGATGTAGCTGGGGAGTGGCCCTGCTCTCCTCATCCCATCGCAGTCTCTGGTGGGGTTGTTTATCAAGTTCTTGCTTACCCATTGGACTGGCCTGCTGCTGAGACACAGGAAGCCCACATGGGCAAGACAGTATACTTTACCACAGTGCTGCTCATGATGAGGCTGGGCAGTTACCAATTGCATCTGTCCTGGAAAACCAGGTACTCTTTACCTGGGTTAAGAATGTCCAGCAATGATGATTAGGGGTGATACTGTGGGGGCGGGGGGGCGGGGCGTGTACAGGGTGAAAGTGCGTAAGTTGAATCCTTGAGAAAACTTGAGGGGAAAGAATGTGGTGTAGAGGCAGCAGGCAAGTTTGAGTGGTGGTGCCAGACCCCCAGGGAGGAGCCACCCTGCTGCACATCTGTCCTGAGCGGAGCCTTTGAAAGACTCTCATCCAGTGATGAGCTCTGCAGTGAGGAGTCAGATACCTCAAGGAAAAGAATGTTTACCTTTGCTAGATTTGAGTGGCTTCTGTGCGTTAGGGTATAAAACTCCTGAGCACTTCCGTAGGACCCCAGATGTCATTTCATTTATGTCATATCTTTTTTTTTCTTAAATCTTTATTTAGTTTTTTTAGGTGGACACAATATCTTTATTTTATTTTTATGTGGTGTTGAGGATTGAACCCAGTGCCCCGCACATGCCAGGCGAGTGTGCTACCGCTTGAGCCACATCCCCAGCCCCTATGTCATATCTTAAGGTCATTAGGCATTTGGTCAAAGGTGGCGTAATCTCCAGGTAGAGATTCAGAACACATTGTCCTGTAGTCTTAATTCTGTGATACTGAAAATCATAAGCAGCACTTTTTCTGTAGAAAATAGGAGTCTTTGGGAAGTCAACAGAAAGATAGAACAGTGGGTATTTTGCGTTCTTAATGGTTTATGCTTCACGGTCCCCCCCAGTGTTTTATTAAGAAAATTTCAAACATGCAGAAGAAATTGAAAGAATCATGCCCACCAGCAAGATTCTACAGTTAACGTTTTACTGTTTGCTTTATTACATACCTGTCCATCTCTGTCCCTCTCTCTAGTCGTCCATCAGTCCCATTTTTTAATGCATTTCAAGTAAGTTGACAGTTTTTCTGAGAGGACTTACCTTTGTTACCCTCCCATGCTGTGATCAATGTGTCAACACAGTTTATACAGATGTTTTCAAAAGCCTGACCCTTTTCCCTGCTTCTAGAAAACTAAGGTTGCCAGTAATCACTGTCCACCTTAAATTATTTTTTAAAAAGTCTGGTAAATAGATTTAAACCTTATTAGTGCCCTCCTTTGCAATTGCTTTATAATCCAATTATAATTTTTACCAAAAATAATTCAGAGTTTTAAGTTATAAGTCATCAAAAATAATTTAGTGTTTTTTAACATTTAAAAAAATTTTTTTATTGGTTGTTCAAAACATTACAAAGCTCATGACATATCATCTTTCATACATTTGATTCAAGTGAGTTATGAACTCCCATTTTTACCCCAAATACAAATTGCAGAATCACATCAGTTAACATTTTAAAAATTTAAAGCAAGTATTTATTGCATTGTTTTCAGAGTGGAAAGATCTACAGACCAAGTCATCAAGCCAGTCAATGTGGGAGCTCTGTCAAAATGGGTGGGGAAGATCCCTCCAGATGTCTTACAAGATATGGCAGCGATTGCACCCATGCTTGCCAAATTGGGGTATGACCCTTACGCCAACCCACCCAACTACGGGAAGCCGGACCCCCGGATCCTCGAGAACACCAGAAGGGTGAGTGAGTGCCCCAGGGCAACTGGACACGCAGTCGGACTCCAAGTGGCTTTTTCCTTATTTTAGTTCTAGCTTTTTTATGATCAAAAAATTGTTCTAAATTAGAGTGATTCTGCGCATGAGTGCTTTATTATCAGAAGTCTGCATTTTAAAGATAATTGCGGCTGTTCCTGTGAACCATGGGGACAGCTCTTCAATGAGTGCCGCCCCCTTCTAGGAGTAGTACTCACATTGGAGAGATTCATCCATAGCTAGTTCCCACAACTTTGCATAAAACCAGAATCATTAAGACTTACTTTGCAAGCCTTTTTTCTCTAAATCTAGTGGATATGTTCCTCTTAAGTGTTTGTGTAGTGGAGGTACCACCTCTCGGGACCCAGTATGTGGGAAAAGTGGCTGAACAGGTGGACGCACCAGCCTTCCAGCTGAGGGACGGCTGCTGCCACGGGCAGTTAGCTGTTCTTTGTACAGGTCAGGTTGGTGTTTTTACAAGCACTCTTCCAGAAAGGGCTCGCCTGGGTGAATGCTGCTGCCATCTCAAGGCAGATCTTCCGCATTCTTTCCAACAACTGTTGTCGGACATCCCTGACCTCACTGTGCCATTTCAGCCATCTTCCAGGGTGTGGTGCCACAGCACTGAGCCCTTCACGCTGGCTCCTGTCACCATCCACCTCCAGAGTTTTTTCCATGTCCTTTTGTGTGTGTCGGTGTCCTCCCCCATAGCCTTGTGATAGGTCATCTCTTTATTCTCTTCCTTTTGGTACTCTTAGTTGGAAACCTGGTGACAGTGAAATGTGTTTCCTGAGGCCATTCGCGTGTGGATCCCCTGCTCTTAGTCACTTTCAGTTCTTCCTTCAGTTCTTCATTTGTGGCAATGTAGGAAGGGCTGTCTATTATAAACCATTGAATATGAAAATAAGCTTATTTTTAAGTAATCTTTATCCTTTTTATACTTACATATAAACATTTTTAATATAAAAATTTAAGTTCAAGCTGGCAGTGGTGGAACATGCCTGTAATCCCAACTACCCAGGAGACTAAGGCAGGAAGATTGCAATTTTGAGGCAGACCTGGGCAACTTAGTAAGACCCTCTCTCAAAAAATAAAAAAGGGCTGGTGATATGGTGTGGCTGTGAGGTGTCCCCCAAAAGCTCACGTGTGAGACAATGTAAGAAGGTGCAGGGGAGAAATGACAGGGTCAGTGAATTAACCTCTGATGGGATGAACTGGTTGGTGGCTGGAGGCAGATGGGTGTGGCTGGAGGAGGTGGCTCACTGGGAGCATGGCTGTGGGGTAGATATTTTGTATCTAGAAAGTGGAGTCTCTCTCTCTGCTTCCTGATCACATTGTGAGCTGCTTCCCTCTTGCCACGCTCTCCGGCCATGATGGTCAGCCTCACCTTGGGCCCTGAGGATATAGAGCGACCTGCCATGGACCAAGACCTCTGATACCATGAACCTGCAAATAAACTCTTCCTCCCTTACAGTTGTTCTGCTCAGATATTTTAGTCACAGCAGTGAAATAGCTGACTAAAACAGCTGGGGTTGTGGCTCAGTGGTAAAGTGCCCCTGACTCAATCCCCAGTACCTCCCAAAGTATACATATTTATAATAAAAAGTATTTTTTTCACTATATAAAATTAAAATAGTAGAAGAATGAAAATTATTTATAATATTACCTAGATACATACAATTCTTAATATTTTAGTATATTCCCTGCCCTCTGCATTTTATTAAACAAAGGTAAGATCATAAGTTATATTTCTTCCTTTATGCACGCAGTTTCTGTCTAACCTTTTCCTATTAGTACTGATGGACATTTCCCATCGTGTGCCTGCTTTTTTACGCATAATGCAGTGTACCATCACAGGAGCCATTGCCAGTTCTTCCTGAAACATAGTAGTGAATGAACGAATAGATGAGCAAACAGAATACATCTCCCTAGTAAATGTCCCTAGTCCATCTTATCGTTTTTCTCTTGTGTTTCTCTTTGACAGACGATGCTGTATCAAACATCTTTGAAATACTAAATTTTAGGTTTTTATTTACATTTAGACTAATAAAAGTGGGAGTAAGCCAGGTCCAACCATCTGGGATTTTTTTAAGATGCTCAATATATCTTGATAAGATTTTTTAAAAATATTTATTTTTTGGTTGTAGTTGGGCACACACCTTTATTTTATTTATTTATTTTAACGCGGTGCTAAGGATCAAACCCAGGGCCTCGCATGGGCTAGGCAAGTGCTCTACTGCTGAGCCACAACCCCAGCCCAAGATTTTTTTTTAAAAATACTTTCAAGCTGGAGTTGTGGCTCAGTGGTACAGCGCGTGGTGCCTGGCATGTGTGAGACCCTGGGTTCAATCCTCAGCACTGCATATTAATAAATAAAATAAAAAGATTCATTGACAACTAAAAAATATTTTTAAAAAAATATTTTCAGATTACCAGCATAATAGAGGTGATTCTATTTTAGATTTTTGCTAATTTTAATAGGTTCCATTGACTAACATAATTGAACATTTTCCAGTTATTAGCTGTGTGTATATTATTCTTTCATGTACTGCCTCTTGACTTTTAACATGCTTTATGTGATTTAAAGTTTTGTGAACTACAGCTTGCTAAAAATGAAGCAGAAATCAGTCTAGCATCCTGCCTTCGTAGTCTTGATTGCCTTTCTGTAACTGGTAATTTATAGCTTTCCTCTGCTGGGGGACTTTATGAACCAGGATACATGACTACATGGCATTGCAAAGGTTTCCCAGAGCAGTAGCCAGTGTGGGTTCCCCACTACCATTGGCTTGGCGATGCTGCTCTCGGTGCTCCTGAGGGGCAGGTCAGGAAGCTGCTCTGGTTTGAGTCCGTGTGACTGAAGAATGGGTTTCACACTGGTGACTGGAAGGGTTTCAGAGCACACTGCAATACAGCTTTTCTTTCCTTCTTTTTGGTCTTTGCCTGTCTCTTAACTGACAATAATTTTGAGGAAGAAAAGATAAAATGTGAACTATAATTGCATTTTGAGTCCTTTGTAATGATGCACAACAGAGGCCATTGTGTGTCTTGAAATTGGGTTTCATAGATGTTCTTATGTGATAGCTCGTGGAATGGAATTACAAAAATTGGTAAGAAACCAGTGCCTGGGGAAGGGGTTGGTTTGCTCCCCTCTCTTTCTCTCTTTCTTTTTCCAGGAAGTCTAATTAACCATGGGTTCCTACTTTTTGGATTGTAAATTACTGCCCCAGGAGTCTGACCACTCCCTCTTGAAGTGTAACACCTGTGAACAGAGTTACCTGTTTTTTTTTTTTTTGGTTTTTTTTTGAGGATTAAGGCTTTTATAAAAAACAAAACAAAACAAATCAAAACCCTAGTCTCTAGTAAGTTCGCAACTATGTATCTATATGAAGAGTTACCTGTTTCTGTGAGCATGCTTCATGTTAGAGACTCTGCATAAGGCCCTCAGCCACATAGGTTAGGAATTTTTTTTAAAAAGATGGAAAAGCCCTAATGTTAGCATAGGTCTAAGATGATGCCAAATAACCTGTAAATATTATGAGAAACTGTAGATCAGGGCTCAGAATTTGGAGTGTTTGTTTTCCTCTGTCCCCTCCCCCCCCCCTCCCCCCCCCCCCCCTGTCCTCCTCGTGGTGTCCCCTCCGCATAAACTAAAGCTTGGAGCTCTCCTCCTGCCCCAGAGTGCTGCTTGCCGCCTCTCCAAGTCTGTTTGCTGCAACATTTACAGTGAGGCATCACCTGTATCACTCAAGTCTAGGCTCTTCAGAGCTTTCTTCTGCCTGTGGCAACTCAAATGCTAATGTAGCCAGCATTGGTGGCCCTGGGTTTCAGCAAGTCCTGCTTGCCAAGAGACTTGATTGTCAGAGGTGGGCTCCAGAAAAGGAAGGTGGCTGGGGAAACAGGCCCTGATTTATGGAGTGAGGGGAGGAGAAAACTCACATTTGGATTAGGAATACAGAATCTCAGTCTCTAGGTTACAAAGACGGTTTTCATACTGTTGTGGGGAGTCCAACAGTAATGATGTCTGAGTCAGCTCATTTCAGGGACAATTTGCCCAGTTTTGAATGGAAAGTCATGTGTTTTGTGGCTGCGTGACTCACATGGCAAGCTGGAAGTGAGCTGCTAACATGTTCCGTGCCCTTTCCCACCGTGGTCTAACTCCAGAGTTGCTGCACAGTTTACTACATAGTGCCCTCTAGGTTCTCCTCAGCCTCTCCCTCCTCCATTGGTTCTTAAGCTTTTTAGATTTAGGAATTTATTTTAGAACCTAATGAAACCTATGAATGCCTACCTCAAAAATGCAGACACATCCTGCACAGAATTCTACCTATGGTTTCAGTGGATTCGTAGATGCCCCAGAAGCCCATCAGGTTAGGACTTCTGCATTGTGTAGTCTCCTGAATCCCACTTATCTACTCTGTGGCTCTTATCACCGTGATGGGGACCCTGTTTCCTATTAGGAGGCCCCAGGTTCACATTCCAGCTGCTTCTGTGAAACTTCCTGGAATTTCTAAGGGGCCTCATGTGAGATTCAGTGTCCCAGATCAAACTTACTGTTCAGACTTGTTCCCTCACAGGCACAGCTAGATGGAATTGTCTTTGTGTGCAGGTGAATGGCCTATTTCCCCAGTAAGCCTTCGTATTTCAGGTGTGTTGCTGATACATTGGTAACCCTGATATTGTTAAATTGGTTTCACAGCCTGCATTTTAAGGGGAGTATGGAATCCCTTACACTTAATGTCATCACTCATGTGGCTGGGCCTGAACTGCCACTTGCTATTTGTTTTGTTTTTTAAAATATTTATTTTTATTTGGACACAATATCATCTTTATTTTATTTATTTTTGTATGTGGTGCTGAGGATCGAACCCAGGGCCTTGAACACGCTAGGCGAGCGCTCTACCACTGAGCTACAACCTCAGCCCTGCTATTTGTTTTTAATTGGGACTATTTGTCTTTGTTCCTTTGTTCTATTTTCCTGAATTCTGTTG